TAATAAAATTAAGAATATAAAAAAATATTAATATAATATTTTTTTTTTTTAATTTTATTTCGTTCAGTTTTAATTGCGTCTTGTTCATGTTCGAAGATTTAACCACTCTTTAACTTATTTAAATGTAACAAATATGATAATTTATTTTTAAATAAATTTATTATTTAAAAAGTGTAATCATGTATAAATATTTTTAATTTTTAATAAAATAAATTTTTTATTTATTATAATTATAAATAAAAAAAATTATAACATAATATATTAATTTAATATAACAAAATTAAAAATATATTATTAAATAACTTTACTATTTAAACATGTTTTGACAGATCTATTTTTAAATTTTATATATATATATATATATATATATATATATATATATAAATCGGTCTATCAGGCTTAACATGTCTTAAAAAAAGGCTAAATCTTATTTGTTTATTAAAAAAGTCAGAGTAGATCACAGGCCTCGTATAGATAGTCTAACCTATTTTCATCCATAAACAGTATACATGCTTTAATGTATAGCTACGTATTATCACAGGGAGAACCTTTATTTTACATATATATATATATATATATATATATATATATATATCATATATTTGTGTGGTAGAGAAACTATGCATGAATTTGAATTTAGGTGAACCACTTTTTGATATGTTAGTTTGATATATAAAATGAATGGACATAGTATATATATATATATCAAACTAACATTTTATACTATGTCCATTCATTTTATATATCAAACTAACATATCAAAAAGTGGTTCACCTAAATTCAAATTCATGCATAGTTTCTCTACCACACAAATATATGATGATATCTATTCTGAGTATGGTACAAACCTTTTTCTCCTGTTTAAACAGTTTCCTTAAAGGTTGTTTGGGAAACAAAAGGAGCTAGAAATAAATTTTTTTCAAAATTTAAATTAACATATTTTAATTTTATTTTTCAGAATAAAAGATATCAATAATAAGTTGTTATAAATTATATATAAATTTATTAATTCAAATAAACAACAAATTTATCCATCTTTTCCTTTATTTTAAAGTTTCCTCTCAAATAACCCCAGAAATATCAAAAACAAAAAACTCATATAACATTATTATTTTTTTCTCGATGGATTACTTAGAACTTGTATTGAAAAGTTGGTCCAATGTGTAGGGATAAGTTTTAAAAGATATCATTATGAATCAACCTAATTCTAACGTGGATAATTACCTTCAACCAGACCAATAAAACAACCTAGTCAAAATGTGTATAAATTGGCCTGGACACTATGTTAGTAGAATTGAAAAAAAAATGTGTTTAATTATGTAAATGATATTTTTCAAGTCCTCTCTCCCTTAGGATGAATTTATATGTTTTTGAGTTTTGATCACTTGACCTTCAATATTATCATATTTTATTTTGTTTTCTTTGGGTAATATTTTTGCTTTATTTTTATTTAATTTATCCTTTATTGTGATGAGCTTATTATTATTATTATTTTGGGGGTTGAGGCTGAAAATGTCATAAATAGTTCTTTGATCCATGCTTCTTAATGGAAAGAGAGTGGGCTTAGACTGGCCATTAAGGGCAACATAGTCTTCACTCATCCTTTGGCGTTGGATTGGTGGCACCAACCTTGCACGTTAATGACTATTTGTTTCACTAAAAATTGCTATGGATTCAACTTTTGTAAGCATCTGTTTGAAACAAATAATATGGCATGCTTGTTCACTATTTATGGGAGAGTGATCCAAACTATTTTATTCTCAAGTGAAAATTCTTTCTTTTCCTCCCCCACCCCGGCCACCATTGCTTGTTTAAATCAATGTTTTAAAAAACCTTGATCAACATTCAACAAGAAAATTTGATAATTCATCCAGCTTATATATTAATAAATTAACATAAAATAAAAAAATTAAATTAAAGATTCATTTGAATAGAATAAGAAATTAATTTTAGTGGAAGTTAAAAAATATCCATTGTTTATGGCATTTAAAATTATCAATAAATAATAATTTTTATTAAAAATCATACATTTAAAGTTATTAATATATTTAATTTTATATCTTTAATAAAAACTAATTATATAAAAGTTCTCATTATATGCTTTTGAGTACATACTTAAAAAAATCATTTCTTATTATTATATACCATTCATATGGATTTCATAAAAAAAAGAAAGGAATTTCACTCTCTGCGATTCAATCCATTCATTATCTAATAAAAACAAAAAATTTATCTCATAATAAATAATACATCGTTAAAAATGTACTAAAGAGCATGACTAACATTCTTCCAACTAAAAAATGTACTAACTGATAACCCAAAACAATTATCAATACAATGCATTGAATATCAACCCATGATTGACCTTGATCACTGGAGTGAAAAAAAATCCAATGCCTTCGTTATATGTTTCACAAGTTTTTTTCTTTTTTGTTGCAAGGGAAAAGAAAAGCTAAATCCTAAGAAAATATACTCTTGATGAATCAGCATAGTTGTAAAACGTGGTTGTCTTCCATCTGAGTATTTGGATATAACACTCTGAATATTCTTCACAATGAAGGCACATGTGTGCAAGTGTAGGAATAATAATATTCTTTGTGAGCCAAAGAATCCTGATCTAGCAGTGTAGTTTACCAAATCATAGTGTCAGGAACATCATACACTCAAACCATCTAGTGTCTTTTTAATGTACGAGGATAAGAGTGCTCAACTTATTAAACTCCCATTCCAGACATCACTAGTGCTTAAGGCAAAATCATTAACGTGAACAAAAGGAACCATATTACACAATGAACCAGTCACTGACCAAGATGAGACCTAAATAAACTAGTACCTTCACCAATAATTCTGAAGACAAAACCATTTTTTAGTTTCTGTTCAGCCAATTGAATGGATTCCCTCACCTAACCATTTTTATTTGTTTCAAATTATTTGTTATTTTAGAATATTAAAAAGTTGTTTATTATTTTTCAACAATACCCTTATTTATTGAGAACAATTTCTGTCAACTAACTAATTACAATAACTCCTATGTCATTTTTAATAAGGATATTTTAGTAAAACCAATATATTATATCATAATTGTCAGAAAATTCAATCATGCATGAGTACTGGTATGATTTTAAAAAATCATTATGCACTTTGTATTTAATGTTTTTTTTTTCATTATTTATTGATCAGTATAGGCACCCACAATTTGTCTCCATACTAGTTTGCCCATAATGGTAGTATGGCACACTCTTTTCACATCCCTCATTTTTTCTATTGGCACTTTTCGTAGATTTTTTTATTTTTGAAAGTTATTTATGAATTGTTTTTGGAATTTAATTTATAAAAAAAAGTTTGGCATGTTCCAAAAAATTAATTTTGAAAAGGAAATTTATGAATAACTTATAAAATTAAGTTATTGAAAAATTTTCCAGAATTAAAATTCGAATGAAACAAAGGGATCTGTATAAAAAATAAATTCCCCAGCAGTGTGAATATCTTAATATTCCTGGCTTGGCATAGGCCCAGCCCACTTTCTTTTTAGAACGAGTCATAGTAGCCCAATTCACAAGATGAATGCCTTTATTTATTGAAGCAGATGAATTCCCGAGTAATAGAATCAACTATGGAACATAGCTATATTCAATTCTGTTTAAAAGGTTCTTCTTCCAACCTGCAAGTCTTTTCTGTAATTTGTGCATAATAAAATTGAAATATTCTCTTTGGCTTTGCCATGGAAAACAAGGAACCTCATGTGCTAGTGTAATTTTATATCACATAACTTGATCTATTTTAGGAGTGTAAATGTATATTCATTCAAAGGTGTTTTTCTCTAAAACTAAATAAGTGGAGAGATCATTTCACTTTTCATATTCTTTAATTTCTTTCATGTTTCTCTTCTAGTAAAGAACCCAAGAATCTATTTATTTATTTTTATTATTTTCATTTTGTCTAATTTCTTTCTTAAAGCAAACAGTGCGCAAAGAGAAAATTTGTAAAATAAGAAATATTTTTAATTTCTAAAACAATGTTACCATAGTCCAAACATACATTGTCAATGGAACTGTTGTAATGTGTTCTGCGAGATCATGATCACTGCGAGACTGGGCACATCAATGAAATGCAAACAAGGTTGCACTTTTGGAAAACAAATGTTTGGGTTGAAGAAACCCCACCTAGATTCCTTATTCTTCTGCATAATGATGCATCCCTTGAGATTGTTTCTCTTTCTCGTTATTGGTTTCAATTTTTTATTTTATCCTAAATAATGAGACTTGTTCTGTCTATTATTATTTCATTTTCAATTCAGCAAAGCGAAAGAAGGCATACGAATTTATGCTGCATTGGCACGGCCTCTCACAGCATCAAATCAGTATCCCTGCATTACGGGAAAATCAACACATTTCAACCAACCACAACTTGTCTTCTGATGGTTTAAAGTTACAAAATATGTTTAAACCATTAAACATGGATAAAATATCTTTAAATTAGGATTATTAATTTTTTACATATAGTATTTAGAAATAATATATACTGAAGATGGTGTTTTTTTTTTAAATTATAAGAATATGAGATTTAAAAATTATCATTAACAATTTATAGTGTAAATAAAAAATTTTAGAGATAAAAAATAAAGTGGTAAATTATAAAAAATTGTTAATACCAATTTTTAAAAAAATATTAAAAAATAAAAAATTCGTTAATGAAAATTTTTAAAATAATAATAAAATATTTGAAATTTTCTAAAAGTCATTCATGGAAAATTTTATACAAATTCATAGCATTTTTAATTTAGCTAAAAATACCATATTTTGGTGATTTCTTCTTCTTTTTCTCTAGTAAAAAATCTTTAAATTACACATTTTCATTAAAACCTAAAATTTTATTGAAAAATATAAAATTAATTTCTTATATTAAAGGTCTTTTTGCTTTTCCGTCAGCAATCTCGGCTGGCAAAAGGTGAAACATTTTCTGCCGTTTTTCATTAATATTTTTCTTTTTCTTTGCTGAAATTTATGTTTTCTTTTTCATTAATAATTTATAATGTAAATTAAAAAATAAAATTAACTTTGATAAAAAAAACCCAAACATAAAATTCTCTGTATAAAATCAGAATGCTATAAGACAGCAGTTATGAATACAAGTTGGGAGGAGAATTGAAGTATAAGAATAAGAGGAAATGGACGTTTGAATTGATTAATGGACCGATCTACAATGCACCGGAATGAAGTTGGAACATGGATTCGACTATGGTCGTAAACAGTGTGAGCATGAATGAGAAGTTGGAGTGTAAGGTGCATGGCAAGCATCAAATTGATTTGTCTCACGAAGATTAAAACAGTTGACAACATGGTGCCCAATCCATACAATGTTAATGTACATGATATAACTAACCATCTACTTAAAACCTCGTAAATATAATCAAAGTTCCCTAGACGAACTCTGCCACACCTCAACACATTCTTGATCCTTCCTAGTCAAGAACATCCTACTACCACCAAAGGAGAAGTTGGTGATTTTAGCACCACCCACATCCCTTACCCTCCCCATCAAGTTCTTCTTGAAGATCCTCTCTTCCAAACCTTTGTTAACATTTCCCATTACAACTTCTGACCATAACTCCACATCTCCACCCTTTGTACAAAACACTTGATTTCCTTGCGTTTCAATCTTGCAACCAAACCCTTCCTTCTTTCCATTCATCACTTTCCTCTTATCTCCAAGACACACCCACGTGTTCTCATTGCTTAGGTTCCGCAAATCCACGTAGAACGCTTCTCCCGAATTGACTCCAACCTTGAAAATAACCGATAACGCATCAGAAACCGCCACGTCAGCAAAACAATCCACCTTCTCCGACATCTCCCAAACCACGTTACCGGACCGAACATCCCATAACCTAATGTTACCGGAAACACCAGAAGGACCACTGTGGGACCCAGAAGCCATCAACAAGTTGTAACCTTCGACCCACTGCAGCTTCGTCGCCGGAATCGCCGAATCGATGTTGGCGCCGAAGATTTCGTTGTGCCCGATTTCTGTCACGGGGCTAAGCGTGTGCAAATCGTAGACCAATATGGAATTCGAGTTTCTCCGGCAAGACTCGAAGCTCACGAACATTTGATCCGGCGAGGATCCGATGGCTTGGACGGTGGAGCCCGATTTGGTCACGTTTTCCCAATTTAGGGTTTCCCTGACGCGCCCCTTTTCCAAATCCAGAATCTGGAGGCCGGAGAAATCGTTTGCGCCGGCGGCGGCGATCTCCGGCGAGATGGCTAAGAGGGAATCGACGGCGGTAAAGTGGGTGAGGATAGTCGATTTACGGCGGAGGGACCAGTCGAAGGAGGTGATTTTGCTGCCGTGTGCGACGTGAAGGGAGCCGTAGGGGGTGGTGGCGAGGGTGGAGGGCGAGTCTCTTCCGTTTAAGGGCAAAAGGAGAGATTTTTGGAGGTTGAAGGGTTCCAATTGAGAAGGGTTGGAGAAGGAATTGATGAGAAGGTTCTCTATGCCGTAGAATTGGGACTCTAAGATTAGATCTTGGAGATCGACGGTTTTGGCTTTTGATGGAAGGTTGCCGGTTCTGAGGAGCGAGAGCAAGAGAGAGAACATTTCAGGGTCTCTGTCTATGAAGGGTGTGCATAGCAGCGATGCTTCCACGATCTTTGAGAAGAATGTTTTAGGACCTGCGGAGGTTAATGTTTGTTTCGTTGTTTGGAACACTTGGCCACCCACGTCGATGGAGACTACATTGGAATCTGGCTTTGGTTGTAGTTGGGGGAAAGAGCCTGCGAATGGTGGCATCGTTATTTGATTTCCTCTTTCTACTTTTATTTTCTTCCTCTCTCTTCGCAGACGTGAAAGTAGTGAGATGTTAAATGGAAGGAAACGAGGTTGGGGATGGTAGTTGGGAATTGGGTGTGGTTGAAATGGTAGAGAAAAGTGGGGCTTTTATATACTGTGAACCGTGATGGGAGAGAGAGAGAGAATGGTTGAGAGGTTAGTAGTAGGTTTTGGCGTGGCTGTAGGATCTGGAACTCTAGAAGGTCATATGCAAAAAGTCGCTATTTTGGTCAATGCAAAGTTGGTCCTGCCTTCTAGTACATTGCCAATGTTTCTTTCTCTTTCTATATAAAACTATATATTTTATTGGCCTGCCCAAATAGACCATTTCATTTTTCGTCCAGTTTCAAGTTTAACCGCACGTACGTGGATGTCACTGTTTATTGTTGCATGTGTTTTTATTCTTTTGAAAACTATCAAGGTTCTTAGTCAAATATGGTGCCCAAGTCTTCGTATTATTGAGGATATTTTTCTTTTTTTATGAAAAGGGAATCAAATGAAATAGTCACAGCTTGTTAGTCAGAGAAGAAAAACATAACGGATATTTTTGACTAATCAACTTATAAAATGAATTCATTATTGAGTGTTTTTATAATATTAAATGTAGTTATTTTATATTCAATATTTACTTTATAAGATATTAAAATAATTTATAGAAAAATTTACGGGAGAATATGCTATTGCTCTAACTTTGTAGAATACTAGAATACACGTTTAAAAGGTTCTGTAAATACCTATGCTTAGTAGACCGAGTGTTACAAAGTCGTGACTCGGAGATTCGTAAAAAATACGAAAGGAAAAGTTCAATTATGTTTTTAATGGTCAGTTATTAGTAAGTCAATCTAATTAATAATATTACTCACTATTGGATGACCATTAGATTTTTTTTACATTTTTACTTGAATGATAATAACTAAAGGTTACTGAAAAATTTTGACACATAATAAATAGTTGAATTTGTTAGAAATATTAATAGGGATTTAATTTTTAATTCTGTAGTAAGACAGTGTTTTTTACTTTGATAATTTTTATACTTTCGATTGAGAAATATTATTGTTTTACACTGAAAAAACCAAATGTTTGTTACTACTTACATTTAAATGATTAGAAGATATTCAAATATATTATTCAATATTGATATTTAATATTGACTATTGAAAGAACATTTAACGATTAAAATGTAAATTGTGATGGTCTTTTATTTGAGTCAACAAAATGCAATGGTCAAACATCCACATATATAGTAAAATAAAAAAATGGAAACATCTACGAATCTTATGGAAAAAGATAAGTAGGATTTGTCTGGACTCTTGATGGTGGTGCTGGACTGGACCTAAAGTTAAGGTTCTGAAGTTAGGGTAACGGCGTTGCATAAGTGTTATAACTATTGGGCCTTTACCCGTCCCTCGCAAAGGCACCATCAGCAATTACTCGTTTGACAACAAAAAATATAAGAATAACCGTCCTTCTAGAAATTAAATTTTCGAAGTTTCATATTTTCAATTCCGACAGTGTAAAAATAAAAAAAACAACTCTATGAAGAACCTAAAACTAAAAGCGAGCCACTGTAGCATATTACCGAAAAATTATCTTAATACGTGTTTAGATTTGGAGTTAACCACAACCAGCGTGAGTTCACAATATAGAAACTACTTTCTGTTGTATTGAAGTTGATGTGTTTCAAACTAATATCAACATAAATCAAAACAAGCGTCTCATTTATTATTATTATTATTATTATTATTATGTTTTATTTTAAATGTACCCAAAACGTATAATTGTTTATTTGAGGATACATGTCTTTTACTTTAGATCACAAAAGTCCAAATGTGGGAATCTGTCTCCCAATTATTGGATCTATCAATGCCGTATTGAACCTTGGCATGTTTAAAAACTCGGAAAATTACTAATTACTAATTACTAAAGCGAAATCTAAGAACGCTGCAAATGTTGCCAACATTTGGAGAATGCATTGCAAGTACTTAAATAGTTAAATATTTAAGAACCCTTAAAAATACATAAAGGGTCATTTAGGTGTAAGGATTCTTGAGATGATTAGATTCCCATTCACAAATTTGCTGTACCCATATAATCAAACCAATCACGATTGTCAGCTATTTATTATAATCGCCATCATTGGTTAGCCTGTAATCGAAGTCAACTATATTATTATATATAAACTGGATAGAGAGTACAGATGCTAAAAATGTACACAGCTATTTCTAAACCAAACATGGTAACAACTACAACATATATATTATGCAAATTCACTATTTTAGGGGCCATTGAGTTCAAAAAAGAACCCCATCAGTGTGTTAGACTTCCCAATCTTAATTTACTATGATTCAATTTAGCAAGTGTGCCTTTGGATTCTGCCAAACAGCATGACACAAAACTAAAAACCAATGCCAAATTCTAGCAAGTCCTTCAACAAGAAGCCACTGTGTGAGTCCTTATTGGTTAGCTAAGACCAGGTTGAATCATTGGGAAAAAGGACCAATCCTTAGAGGCCCCTCCCTCCTTCCCTGCAACTTTCTCATTAGCCCACCAATCAGCAACTATATTTGGTGCAAGAGAATCTCCTCCATCTGCATTATCAAAATTGAATTCTTTAGCAGAAGAAAGAGTTACAGAATGATCCTTCTCATGAACTGTTGCCTCATCTCCACCCAAAGTGGTTTGCTTCTGTGTGTCATTGTGAGTTTCAGCAACTACTTGTTTGTCATCACGCACGGTTTCTCTTGAATTTTCTTCTTTGTGGGCTGTTGCAGCATCGTTTTTCAATTTTGACATGACTCTAGTCCATGCTGATGCTGCTGGCTTGTTTTCCACAGATTTCAATACTTTCTGTGCAGATAATTCAAATGAAACCCTATGATTTATACTAATCTCACTCAGGCGATTATTGCTTGGATGTGGGGACATTTTGATCTCAGAAACCCAATGATTTGAAACAAAACCAGCATGAGTTGTGGACTTTGCAGCATCTGGGGTCAGAGACCCAGAACCTTGATTTGACTTTTGCTTTTCATAGGCAGAAAGTTTATCTAAGTTAAGAAGCTTGGGAGGGTCTGCTCTTTGGAAATCAAGGATATGAGAACCACCAACAGTGAACTCCGAGTCGGGCAGCGGCGATGAGGCGCCAGAAGCCGAGATGGCAGATCTTGGGGATATGAGTTGACCAACTGGGCTTCCAGGATGAAACTGATAAGATTGGAAGTCATAGTGAGATATTTGGAACCTCTGATAGGTCTCACTGTTCCGGTTGTTGGGGTCAAGTAGTTGAGCAAATGGCACCTCCGGCGAAGAAGGTGTAGTCAAGTGGACAGACTCAGGAGGTGGAGTGAAAGGAGCAGTAGATGATGCCGAAAAAACAGGCGGTGACACTAATTGGGTTTCGTGAGCATAAGGGCCAATGGCAAAGATTGAGGCAGGGCCTCCAGGAGAGTACATGCTGGCAGACACACAAGTGTGAGATACAATTCCAACCGGGGACTGTGCAGTTGAGGGAGGTTCTGATTGAAAGAACGATGCAGGAGACGAGGGAGGTGCCACAAAGGGAAGTGTTATACTAGGTGCTTGAGTTGAACTAACAGCTGCAGCAGGATCTGCTCCATTGGGGGTTGTTTCTGGAGCAAGGGGAGCATGCCCAATGCGCTTCCGGTTCTTGTGATATCCAAAGCACCCCGATATGCTCAACCAGCTTCCCCATTTTTTCTTCTGCAAGCAAAAGCAGCAGACTTAAGTCCCAGTCATAGAAGACACTAAGTGTTTCATTGATGCATCTGAAAGTACCAATTACTGATAGGTTAATACAAAATGAAACATGTTACACGACTTAATTATAGTATCGATAGACCTAGATTGAATAAGAAACATACACAGTTATTCTTGCAAGGCTTTCTCATTGTTTGCAGATTGAAAAATGTTAGGAATCAAATAATTGTCATACATTGCAGGAATCAGGACAAACACTATCACTTCTTGGAAATTGATTCAGTAAGTTAAAGATCCAGACAAGTATGAGGAATCGGATCCAATCTTCCACTTGATAATTACCTACCTCAAGTTTAGTTTAGGTATTCATAAATCTTATTGTCAAAAAGTGAGAATTCGGTAACCCAAAAAATGAGAAAGCCAATTGAATTGAATTTTCCTCTGTTAATTTCACTAAACAGTGCGTATAACCAATTGCTTTCCAACTTGCAAATACTCTGCCTCCACAGAGAAGGTATCACATAATTCTAAATATAAATAAATATATATATATATATATATATATATATATATATATATATTATTATCATTTTATTGCCAGTAACTTATCAAGAAAACGACTGATATCAACCAAAAGAAGAAACAGTGGGAGAACTGATGAGTTTCAACTTTACACGCTATGTTATTACCGAAGCCAAAGACTAAGCACAGGAAAATCCTAACATTGTTTAATTATTTTTTCACGAACTTACTATCTTTTAAAGTTTGCTACTTTATTGTTCGTGTACAAAGGGAAAGAAGAAAAAAAGAAAACGAAAAGATTATTTTTTTTTCAGTGAAGAGATCAATTGTATAATAAATTCAACCAAACAGTGTCACGCTCCACACAACAAAACCTGACCAAGAAAAAAGAAACCTAAATAACCAAAACAATAAAGGTCTAAAGCATCAAAATGATCAAAACCCAAAAAAAACAAACTTTTTTTTTCCCAAAACTGACTTGAAAATGATGGAGTTAACTTGATTATAATACCTGGGCAGAAGGTTGAGAAACGCGATTCTGGGCTGAGGATATGGCAAAAGCAGCAGCGTTTATAGTGTCCAAAGTGTTGTTAACGGCTATGCCATCATACCCATTAGCCCCTCTCATCTCTGTGTTGTTTTTTTCTTTCACCGATCAAAGTTTTGAGCGTTGAGGGGTGAGAGAGGAAGGAGATTAGCATAAAGAGGTAGAAAATCTTGTAAGGGTAGATTACAGAACAAGGAATTGAGTTGAGTTTATGAAAGTGGGAAAATAAAAACTGGGTTTTTGTGTGTGTGTGTGTTGTGCCGTGAGATGCGTTGCCGTGTATTTGTGTCGTGTGTGAGTACAACGCTGTTTTGAGTTGAGGTCAAACACGGCAATGACTTGCTCCTCATGTGATTAACGAAGACTTGGTCTGGCTTTGCTTTATATATATTGCTTAATGTACATTTGTTAATTGTCATGTGATGCTACAAATGTCTTGGATTTACCTAACTACCCTTCAAGTCTCACCCTCTTTTCTCCTCCACTCCAAAATGTTTTAAAATATCAAACCCCATATTGTAATTTCCGTCCATTAATGTTTATTATTAAACTGTATTTGCACACAATAACTCTTCTGGTATTTACATGCAAAATTAGAATACTAGTGCAATTTTTATCAACATATAGTCAAAATGAGACACATGCATCACATTACTGTCTTTAATGAGAAAGTTCAGGGAAAAAGTTTCCCTGCAAAAGTATAATTTTTACTGCACATATCATTTACTAAATGAAAAATATTAAAAGTATTTATTTTTCTTTTATTGTTTTCTTAACATGTGTTCATTTAATTTAAAATAATGAAGATGTATATGAAAATTGATTTAAGTGAGACATTTATATTAAAATACATAATTTTTTTTTGTTAAGAAATGAAAATCAAATAAGTTGAAAACAGGGAGGGGAATGAAAATGAATGTGTAGTTGGGAAGAGACAGAGAGGGCATGAAAAGAGAGGAGTGATGGTTTACGTTAGCAGTGCACGTGTGCACAGCCATTTCTGGACGGCTTTCGTGCGCAGCACCATCCCACTCACAACGCGTGGGCCCCACATCCCTTTTACACCCCCCACGTTCAAATAACTTGCACGAATGGTCAATCCCTCACTTATCCTTCTCTTTCTTAATCCATTTTTTTAATATTTTCTATGAGATAATATTAACTACTCTTTCTCTCTGAAATTCATGCCCAAAAGATCATTATGAACCCAAACTCTCTTTCTTTTATTCTCTTCTTTATCATCATCAACCTTTTCAAAATCGTTATTAAATCCCTGTTTTTTTTTTTCATGTGTGAATTTAGAGATATGATGCTAATTTTCTTAGTTTTTTTAGTTGATATGGGTTCTTAAGACCCATGTAAAAGAATATAAAAGTATTAATAAATATGTAGTGTTTTTAAGTGATTAAGACAATTAAATAAAAAAAATATTGTTTTAAATTCTTAAGGTGAGATGCATTAACAAAAGTACAAAACTATTTTCTTATTGGTATTTAGTTATCCACGAGGTTGAATTTTTGTTGTGTTGTTGAACTAACATGCTAGGAAAAAACCAAGCATCAAACAACTCCCCATTCTGGAAACGAGCAAATAAAATCTAAATCCAACCAAAAAGATCATTTTCTAGAATTATAGTCCTTTCAGACCAGTTTAGTCATGTCATGAGTACCCTGACTTGTATTCCTTTACCAATTTATGCATAGGAAATAGATTTTCTACATTTGTGGAATAATTTCTTTTTGAAAATTATTAAATTAGTGAATTTGAAAAAAAAAATTTAATTTTTCTTTGTTAATAATTTATGACATTTATAATGTAATTTTTAACCATGACACTTATTTTTAGCGGATCAAAGTTGTCACAAATTAATTTATTTTCATAAAATAAAAAAAAAATGAGGATATAACCTACTCTATTTTTAAAGAGTTATGCTAATTTAGTATTTTTCAAAGATAATTATCCCACAGGTGTAAAAAAGGCCCAACAGAAACATTTTAGTGTTTGCTAAATTTTTTGTTTTTGATAGGCAAAACATATATTATTAGAGAGAGTTCAAGGGGAACTCAAAACCTATTTACATAAAAAAAATTACTTACTCAGAGAAATAAAAAGAAAAAAAAATATTTATACAAGGCTAAGAAAGATATAATTTCGTGGGTTCAAATACCAATCAGCTAATAAAATAATTTCTCCCTTACTAACAAGTGATAGTCATTTTCAGGACCTCAGAACCATAGAATCTAGGACTTCCCTCTCATCTAAAACACCATTAGAAAGCACAATTCTATAACTACAAAGACCACAATGTACTTACCCAAACAATTAATAAGTATATTTCTTCTCTTTTACTACAGCTAACACTAATCCAAAAAAGTAAGTGAGTCGATCAATCTGAAGGCAAAACCAGTAAGAATTCAAGCCAACGCGCAATAAAGTACCAGATTTGAGATGAAACTAAGCACGTTAAAAATAAATGAGTTGAAAGTTCCTCTAAATCATGACAGAAGCAACAAGTTATATCATCAATTTGAACACCACGATCAGACAGCAAACCTTTACAAAAAAATGTATTCAACAACAATTGCCATGAAAATACTATACACTAAAGAGGGACCTTCCCTCTCCATAGCCTTTGTAAGGCATCTGTCATACACTGATCTATACTATCAGGACTACCAAAAAGTTTAAACAACCATAAATACGCAGATTACACTGAATAAGAACTTGAATAATCTACCTTTCATACCCACAGTGTTTGCTAAATTGCTTTATATATTTTGAAATTTTCATCATATGCGTCAACAAGAATTTGATATATAAAGGAAAATAAACAGGAAACAAAAACTAAAGAAGCAAAAAAATGATTCATGAATAATCAATGCTCAACTAAACTCTGTACAAGATAATCGTAGCTTTAATCAGTTAAAATATGAAGTAACTTAGATTTGTAAATACATATAAACTGTATTAATATCTACTTAATATATATAATTATTTTAATTATATTATATTATTTTTTATTTTTCTTCTGTTATTGTAATATCTCTATTTTTATTTATTTATAAAAATCCACACAGATTAATTATTTTGTTATAATTAATTGTCAAGTTTATTAATGAATCTCTTTTTAACTTCTAAACTATTTAAATAGTATTAATATTTATAGTATATACAAAAGTGTAAAAATAAGAAAAATAATAAACAGTAATTTTTTAAAAATATATAGTATTGAATAATATCAATACATAAAACTGAATTAAATTTTAATAAAAAATTATTATATACTCCTTTGAGTAAATTAGAAAAATTATGAATATTCCATGTAAATAAAAAAGAACAGTTAATATCATTTAAAATTTCTATATAAATAAGTCAGTAAAAAAATTAAAATAAAAAATAATATCCCTCTAAGTGTAATAGAACAGTTTTTGAATACTGAACCCCCCACCTACTAAGCTATGTAAACCTAGACTTGATAAAACTACAGGAATCATTGGAATTGTTTGAGAAACGGTGGGTTGATTATGTTTGTGACCAAATGGCAAAGCTGTAACCTTGTGATTTACTGTTGATTTGGCCTCCCAAAAGCATAATCACTTTTCTAATTATTACTCCATCTGTGTAATGCAGTTCCAATACATTTTCACTACTTAATAAGCTTCACAAGCTCCAGGGTTTTCGCAAACTATTATAATATCTGAAGATGATAAAATAAAGAATAAAAAAATTATAACTTTTAAAAAATCACAGCAAACGTTATAAATTAAGCAAACGATAATTAAAACGGATAATAATAATAATTTAATAGGAAGAAGACTCCTTGAAAGTTACTTGGATCAACACTCTGAATGATTTGAGAAGAGCTTTTAAAAAAACAAAAACAAAAAGGAATTATGAAGGGAATCAAGTTATTTTACTTCACTTCCTTTTCACCTCTCTTATATGAAGCAATTATATCTTCCAATAATTTTTTATGGGAAGAAAATTGGGAAGCTATAATGTAGCCTAGTGATGAGGTGATGCTATGAAACATGGTGATTGGCATTATGTAAGTATGTTACATTGTCTAATGGAAATAAAAACTCAATGTTGATTGTAAAAGAAATGAATTTGCGAAAGATGCCATTTGCTAGTTGTAGTTGTAGGTATAATATGAGGAAGAAAGGTTCAAAAGGGTGGGGTAGGAATAATAATAAAAGTCACAGATTCTTTTCCCTTTTGCTTGTGTCCTAGGGCAACTGAAATAACAATTAAACTCAAGACTTTTGAGGCGATAATTAATCTTGGTTTAGATAGCAATCTTGTTAGATAAATGGGGACACCTTTTTCATCATTGGACAGGTAGTAGTAAGCGTCACTAGTGAAATATCAAATTTATCATCGTATTCTGATTCTGCTGCTTAATTTTCTTTACTACCCCACCCTTTTTGTTTGACTTATGCGAATGCAAACAAAGCGTTAGAAATATGATTTTCAGGCCTTCATACAAGCATAAATTAATCTAGGTGTACCATATATATATAAACCAAATAAAAATACAAATTTTTTATTAGCAGATGATACCCTTTTGGTAATCTAACCAAAATTTTCGTTGCTAATTTAAGACAGCAACAGCCTTGAACCGGAAGAAATTATTAATACAATCAATTAGAAGCCGAAAAAATGGTGTGAAAATTTAATTTACGCTTAAGTATGATTAAAAACCGAAAAAAAGGAGTTTGGAAATTTAAGCTATGCCGGTATAAAGGAACAATGGAGAGTAATCAGTGATTAATGGGTGTAAGTAGTACAGAAATTCTTGATAAGAATTTTTTTGAGTAAGGGTTGCAATTAATACCCGAACTTGTGCTTTAGAATAAGCAATCAAGCAATAGTCTTATCTTCAGTACTATTGTTTGATTTATTTTAATATAAGATTACATCCTTCATTTGGGAGTTAGTTTTTAATATAAGATTAGTTTTTTGGAGTTAATTTTAAAATAAAATTATTTAATAGTATAGTTATTAAGGTACTTATATTGATATAATTTGATTTTTTATATTCATACATTAGTAATATAATTTAGCATATTAATTACGAAGGAACATACATTTATTTTGGTGATATCTATTTTAAAATATCTTTAGTATATATCAAACAATATAACATTGATATTTGTGTGTAGTTTAGATAAAAGAAAAAGAGTTGCATATAGCATATCTGAATTATGGGGGGATGAACATTGATTTAAGGTCGCAGGTTGGTCGGTTTAGCTGTGAAAGACACCACTCCTTCAGTCCCTTATTCAATATCAATATTCCATTATGTCATGGCACTGTCACACAATACATAGAAATAAATGTCAAATTTTAAATA